TGCTTCTGCATCACCTCTGCTTTTGAACTGTAAAAAGCCAAACCCAGCGCAAGAATCTGGGAAGCGTCTGTCTGAGCATTTGGGAAGTACTATTTCGGTGATAATACCAAATTTGTTAAAAACTGCTTCTAGGTCTTCTTTCTTTGTCTTAAAAGTAACTTTTTAGAAGCTCGATACCGTAAACTTTATTAAACTGTTCTTTTATCCTTTTTCATTTCTTTCCACTTAATATCATGAAACTGTTTGCAGCTCACATTCTTAAAGACTCGAGTTTCTCCGTAAAAAGTATCGTTAAATTAAAATGAAGTCAACAATGTAATTTTTGAATTTTTTACCTCCCAGACATTTTGCGAAAACCCTCGCAGAAATTTCTTTAGTACATACACACTTACTTTGAAAGGAAGATTGCGAATTATCAGACGCCATGATTTCTTATGCGAACCTTGCGGAGCTACACTCGTCGAGGATACGCTTGTGCTGTCCGATTCTCCTAACTGTTTCATCTTGATATTTAGACTTTTCCCAGGCTTTTTTGGCATAGTGCGCTTCCTGTCATTTTCTTCATTAACTTGACCTGCTGCAGGCTTTCGTTTTGCTTTATTTCTAAACCCAACCATCAGAAGCAGTAAATCTAAAAAAAATATATGTCTATACAAGTTACAGTGCTAGTAGAAAGCTATTTCAAATCCGTATATGAAAGGAAGCAGACTGGCATTGAATTTACGAAGCAAAAAGAACAAGTCTAATTTACTGAAAAAAAATAAAAACGGAAAAAAAAACAACCAAGAATAAGTATGGGTAGAAAAGAATTGCAAAATCATATGAGTAAAAGTGCCTAACTAAAAATAACGAAATTTTCACGAGTTGTGGAACAAGAGGCGTACACCTAAGTGAAGAGCCCAGTTTTGGATTAATTGCACAGTTGTAATTGAAACTTCTAGTCAGTTACTGTTCATTGTATCAGCAAAAAACTGTGTAACAGTAAGGCAAGTATAAAAACAAGGAAATTTCCTAGACTTCTTTCAGCATGCCAGCCTCTTTAAAAATGTTATTCAAAATCACAATAGACGATTCTGAATTCAGATTCTAGTGTGTCAGTTGCGATCATGCCAATTAAGCTTAAACAAGAAACAATTACTGAAATTTGCCTGGTGGTGTATTCTGCAACGAAAAATTTCTTGTTTGGAAAATTTACTGCTGTTGGCAGATTTTCAAACAAAATTATTTGCGGAAATTTGAAACCGTGATTTTGAACAATTTTTGTCTTCATTTGTTTAACAGTTCAAATAACGGAGCAGCAGTAGGTTTCAATTTGAACCAGCGGTCATTAATTTGGGTTGTTTTTTAACAGAAACTTTTGAAAAAAAAGTGAATGCAGGAATCAAGAAACTTAAAACTTTCTGCCTGTGCGGATGGATTAAATAGATAAGCTGTTGTCCCATTTTCCTTTCCTTTGTTTTTGTTCGTTATTTTTTTTAATTCTATTTTTTACGGAATTTTTTTCCATCACATATTTTCGTTTAAAACTTTCTGCTTCACCTTCTTCAGTTTCTCATTAAATTCCCGCCCTCTTTGGCCATCAGATGTCCTCGCAAAGAAAGAGGAGGAAAATTTGATTTAAGAAGCAGTAATGAAGAAAAAAGTCCACCCAGTTTTGTTGGGAAAATTTGAAAACTTTTTGCTTTACTTTGTTCTGCAAGGTCCTCGGTCCTTCGCATGATCTTCAGGACTTTAACGAGAAGAGAAATCCAAAAAGTGTATTTTCTAAATAAATGAGTGTTTTATTTCTGTTCCTCAGTGACACCTTTTGTCAGTTCAGTAAATAAGCCTTTCAGAAAATAAGGTTGAAGTTATCGGGGTATTTACTCGGGAAAAGCTGTGTATTTCCGTTAAATTAATGAGAATAGTCAGATCTAGACAAAGCAGAAATAACTGATAAAATAAATTAGCTGGTTTAATTACTTTTTGGTATAATGCCTGGTGTATTAGTAGTCCGCATTTGTTTATTTAGAAAACTTCTAAAGTACCACATAACATCACCGAAACGCTTTTATTATCAAAGGGTAAAATGACAGCACCTTCAGAATTTCTTTTGACTTTTTTTGTTCACTATGTTAACCTTATACAGAGAGAGTTTTCAGTTTGTCATTAACTCCTTTCGCATCTTGGCCACCAGATCCCCTTGCAAAGAAAGAGAAGGAAAATTTGATTTTAGAAGCGGTATGAAGAAAAAAAATGAGGATCTGCTTGGTGTTTATAATATTTGGAACATGCTTTGGCTTGCAATCGAATTAACAGTTATAGCGTTAAAAAACCTGCAAGTAGATGATGCGTTCCAGCCATCGTTCTATATTAGTGACATTCTGACTCTAAATGATTAAGGGAATTTAGCAAACGCGATTACAGTAAATGGAAGGTCATTAATGGACCTCACAAGCCTTTTGCGTATTAAGTTTAAAATGTAATCCTTAGCTTAGTTCATCAGCAGAGCAGCTGTAGGAAGATTCTTCAGCTATCTTGTAACGTTTTAATCCATTTTTCACGGAAGTTCTCACAATTTTTTTTGGTAAATTTCAAATTGATAAATACTAAACAGTTATCGTTTTATAAGTACAGTGCTCCATGTGAGAACGTGAGAAGTAATTTGCGTGTCTTTTCAATTTTACTTCACATATATCTAGCAGTAAGTGAAATATTAAGAGAAGGTAGGCACAGAATTTATTCAACAGCAAATTCTCCTATTATTAATAATGCAGCACCGTAAAGTTATTTGTTAAACCTGGAGCAATTAGTTAAGAAAAAGTAGGAATTTTAAAAGGAGGCAGAAAAAGCGTAGTATCCTTCATTCTCTGAAAAAAGGTGATTTATGTAACTTTGCAGAAATCAAAACAGATGGTATATTGAACAACTCATATTTTTGAGTGTAGGGAGCATTTTCTGAAGTTTCTTCAACAAATTCAATTAAAAAGTTAGATAGCGATATATAAAAATTAAAACACTGATTTAGAGTTATTTATGAAACAAGTAACAAAAAATATTTTTGGAAAAGCCAGCTTTCAAACCTGCCTAGCAAGAGGTGCTTAATAAAATTTTCAGTCAGAGGTGGCTGATAATGGTGATATACTGAGTCAGTAAAGTGGTTTTAAAAAAAAGCCCGTCAAATAATTTTTCAAAAGTAAACTAAAAGTACTGTATTTTCAATGATTCTTCTTTGTAAAAAAAGGCTTCAATTGCTTTCAAACGTAAGAAAAATGAGTAGCCAAATTACAGAATAATCAAATAGCTCCTCGAGCGCTTTTTAAGCCATAAACTTTCCTAAAATACAGCGAATTCATCTGTTCTAGGAATATAAATGTTAACACAGTATGAGGTCCTATACGGAAATAGTACGGTGTAAAACCCTTCCAAAGAGCAAAAATTCCTTCATTTCTAATTATTTTTTGTAGGACGTCAAAGGCATTTTTGTATTCCGGTTTCCCATCAATGATTCGCATATTTTGTATTCTGAAAGAATTCAAAAAATATTATTCAAAATATGAGGTTTGGAGGCAATATGTGCTTTACAATATTTTGCCATGAACCTGTTGTCATTCTTTGTTTTCAATAGAGTTGAGAAAAAAAATTCACCTTGTTTTTGCAATGTCTACTGGCATTGAAGCAATGGTTGTAGCTAGGCCACTGACCATTGACGCTAAAAAGTGGCAAAAAATGCCGTCTTTGACATACGAGGTATTCAGAATGGCTTCTTTTGCTTGCGAATACGTTGCCAACTGAGCGGCGTTCACGACCATAGCTCGGGCAACAGTGGGACCGCAACCCTTTAAAGTAGTACATACTGATTACAAAAACTTTTCAGAGGAAATTAAGTTTGCAAACTTTCTTACTATTAACTATAATTTGTTCGCTGTATTAATGCTTGTGACTTTTATTAATGCAAAAAATAAGCTTCTTTAATGCTTGGTTTCAAAATACTAGTGTGGAAGCATAGTACGATCAATATTCTATTTTGGATTAAGAAGTCAAAAAATGCTTGGAGTGAAAAGCTGAAATTGTAATCAAGCGTTTAGAGGCCGATAAGGCTAGTTAAGTAAAAAAAGAATTTATATATAGGCTTGAAAACTACCCTCCACAAAGTTGTCACCCCCTCTTCTCGAATTATTCTGATTAAGGCATCAAAAACATTTTTATAGTTATGCCTCTGAGCAGCAGGTAATCTGAAAACCAAAAGTGTTGTCAATTCATTAGAACTGAGAGTAAAAATGGAGCAGATGGCAACTTTATGGGTAAACTGATATATACTAAAGAAAAGAAACAGCTCATAGAATTAAAAATTATTTTTTTCACTTATGCGAACTAAAAAAATACCTCCCATCAGAGCACATACGGATTAGTGCAACCTCTGCTGGAGTACCAACGAAAGATGCTACAGCGCCAGCAGTTAACCCAAGTGATGCCTTTAAAGCAAATGTTGTGCTTTGCTGTTGGCTAAAACAAGAAGTGATTTAACTTAAATAGTGGCCTCTTATAATTGATAGGTATTTGACAAAACAGTATAAGGTTGAAAATCATAAGGTGAGGTGTACTGGGAATATACCTGCAAAATTTTTCAAACAACCATGTGTACACTCCAAGTCGCGTTGTAGTGTAGGTGGCTTGTCGAAGGAGGCCAGCAGAAAGACCATTATAAACTGCCAAGACACCTTCCTTTGCCACAATCGAACGTAAAGCGTGAAAACTTGATCGGTATTCCTTCTTACCACCTATACCGCTCATCTGCATGCGATTTTTGACAAGATCCAGAGGCTGCACGAAACAAGTAGCACTCATCCTGCAAAATAACCGTTTTATACATGCACTTGAATGTGAAACAGCAAGGTAAAACTTACCCAGCAAGGCCGCCAAAGGTAAATTTAACTGCATTGGGGATCCTTGCAACTTGTTTCTTTTCATCTGATGCCATCCTCCTCCTGCAAAACAGTTAAGATAATCTTAATTCAATTTATCCCATCTTTTGAAAAAAACAGCTTACTAGGTACCAGAGAACAGTGTTTAAAAATAAATTGAAAAAACTGAGTTTTAATTCACATTTTAAAAGCTACTTTTCAAATGAGGAGCAGAAACTACCAATATAAGAGCACACTTCCACAACAAATGTCACAGGTGTGATCTAGTATATTTGCCCGACACCTAAGAGAATACAATAAACTTAGCAGTTTTACGAATCTGCAGCTGAATCTGCTATTTTACCACGTCGGGTACAGAAGTGGTATCATTTCAAAAAATTATGAGGTCGAAATTTCAAACTTGCAAATGTAAATCGCTTCTGATCCAGTAAGAGATGACTAGATCAAGAGGGTGCAAAAAACAGGAAATATATGCTTTTTTTCATAGAAAAATTAGAAGTCATCGTCCTTAAAATTCTGTTTTTTTCTTCAGTTCTAGCATTTGATGCCAATGCGAATGTTTACATGATTTCATAGAAGAAAAATAATAGGTAAAAAGTTTCAAAAAAATTGATGAAAAGAAATTAGAAAAGAAGAGGATAAATTTTTATTGGATTTCAACAATATCGAGCAAAAAAA